GAAAGACCAGTCGCTATATCCTCCCCCCACGAAGTAATGCCTAACGGCGGTTTCCATGAGGGATTAGAGGAAAGAGGAAAGGGGTTTAGGGTTTAGTGGGTAGGGGGGCTAGCGTCGAGTTTTAGTATGACGCTGCGTCGAGTCGCCACATATCCAGGCCAAACAACTATGCCTAGAATCCGTAAAAAGGATTCCCCCCCCCCCTAATGGAAAAAAAACACACACACACACATACTGTAACAGGGTAAATTACCCTTAATCGATAAGTCGCCAGAGATCGATAACTTTTCGACTAGCACTTTTGCGCCTCGATCTTCGGGCCTAGAGAGAGAGTAGGAGTGGGTATTTTGGGGGTCGTTATATAGGTGAGCCATGCATTGTATCGGGAGAAGTAGTGCAGTGCTCAGACCAACAACAAACCAAAAGTCCAAGAAGGAGGTCATTGGTAACAAGGAGCTTTCTTCAAGCACAAATTACACCAGGTATTAAGACTTACATTTGATGAGCCGCGGGGTCGTATACTCGGCTCATCAAGGTACTACTTCTCATTTCCATAATTATTTTGAGCAATTCAATTGTCTGGTAATAATTAATTTATTAATAATTATATAATTAATTGCTAGTAAATCAACAATTCGTTAAATTCAGTGTTAACATTCGTTAGCTGTGTGAGCATTCTTCTTGGGGATTTATACCCGAGGAATGTTCCAGACCTTGTTGTCTTAAAATTCGTGAGAAATTAATTTATTAGTTTGGCCAGTTAATAATTATTAACATCTTAAGATTGAAATAATTAAATTTATTTTTATTAATAAAATAAAACCTAAATTCGGAACATCGAGAAAATTCCAATCAACTCACCGATCGGTCAGGCGTCGTATACCCGCGGTCAAAGCTTACTACGCATTTAGGAACGCCGGCGTCCATTTTGAGCGCGCAAATTCCTTTGTCAATTATATTACGCAGTAATTTATAAAATTTAACAACTGAATTATTATCACAAAAATTACAACAATTGAATTATCATTATTTAATTTATTACAATGAAAAAATTATTTATATGATATTGGTTATTGGAAATTATTTTTATTACTAAAAATTATTTATTGAAATTACGACGTTAATTAAGATTGAAATACCCGTGGATAATTTTTCGTAATTTATTTTATGTTGAAATAAATTATTTGTTAATTAATTATTTATTCGGAAAATTCCACGTGGTCATTTTACATTGAATCAAATTCTGATAATTTAATTAATAATTTTTATTTCATCATCTTGGGAAAATTCCTTACACGGAAAGAAAATTATGGGAACTATTCCTATACAGTCGAGTCGCGTTATGAGCCCTCCTTGTGTCTCTCTCTTATTAACGCGAGTCTGGTTAAAAAACAAAGAAAACAAGCCGGACTCATAACGCGATTCGACTGTACCATTATGGGAATGGTTCCCATAATGCTATAGGAATAGTTCCTATACTATTATAGGAACTATTCCTATATCGTTATGGGAACTAATCCCATAATATTATGGGAACTATTCCTATAATATTATGGGAATGGTTCCCATAATGCTATAGGAATCATTCCTATAGCATTATGGAAATGGTTCCCATAATTTATGGGAACCATTCCCATAATAGTATAGGAATGGTTCCCACAATATATAGGTTTAAATCTTACGCGGAAAAAAAAAATTGGGGCTGCCACATGATACATTCCTGTAGAAGATTCATGAGGCAGGCAATAATGGTTAAAACAACTATAATAATTAAATAATAATAATAATAATTTATATTATTAAGAGAATAAGAACAATTTTGTCTCCTGGATAGTCACATGATGGAATCGATTTTTTTTTAGTGAAATTAAGTGTCATTGCAAAGGTCATGACTTGAATTTGTGCCTTTTCAAAGTTTCATATCATTCTCGTCGATAGTCAATTTATGATGATAGATATTCAGGTTGCATTCGAAAATGCTCTATCTCTAGATACATAATTAAGAAATGACCTTGTATCTTGTGAACTATTAACATTTTTATAGATATAAGCTCACATTAATGTTACACTCATCGAGACTTTTCATTTAAGTACTCAGATCAATTTTTCATATATTGTATATATATTATAATATGTATGTATATATGAAAAATATATCAAAAATGCATGTGGATACTCAAATGAAAGCTCTTGATGAGTATAACATCAGGATGAGCTTATATCTTTAAAAATGTCAATAATTAAGAAATGACCTTGTATCTTGTGAACTATTGACATATTTAAGGATATAAGCTCATCCCGATATTACACTCATCGAGACCTTTCATTTGAGTACCCACATCAATTTTTCATATATTTTATATATTTATATTTATGTATATATGAAAAATATATCAAAAATGCATGTGGGTACTCAAATGAAAGCTCTTGATGAGTGTAACATCGGGATGAGCTTATATCTTCAAAAATGTCAATAGTTTACCAGATACACGGTCATTTCTTCATTATGTATCTAGACACAGAGCATTTTCGAATGCAGCCTAAATTCTTATTATAATAAATTGACTATTGGTGAGAATGATATGAAACCTTGAAAAGGCACAACTCCAAGCAAAAACTCATTTTATCACATAAATACACTGGCCGCAGAATTTTCCTTATTCTGTTAATAATATAGATTATTATTATTTCATTATTATTGTTGTTTTAACTATTATTGCCTACAACATGAAATTGGGAATAGTTCCCGATAATTGATATAGGAACCATTACTATATCATTATGGGAATATTTCTCATAATATTATGGGAATGGTTCCTATAATTGTTTAGGAATCATTCCTATAATTATAGAAATCATTTCTATACCATTATGGGAACCATTCCCATCATTATGGGAAATTTTCCCATAATTCAGGGAAAATTTCCTATAATTATGGGAACAGTTCCCATAATTCATGGGAACAGTTCGTATAATTACCTGGGAACTGTTCCTATAAAATTATGGGAATAGTTCCCATATTTTTCTTTCCGTGTAGAAATTAATTTAACTACGTGGATGTTAAATTCGGGAATTTATAATTAGTTAAAATTAATTGATGAAATTTTATAATAATAATTTATATAGTTAATAATTAATTTACGAGTAAAAATCGAGATAAATTGTCCGTCGAATGTTCCGGAAGTTTATTTAGCGTTGAGTATTAAACTCGTGGTTATTTTGAAATAAGTTGAGGCGTCGGTTTTAGCCCGGAATCCTCGAGAGAAATAAATTATTAATTGTGGAAATAATTTATTGTTTTAATTGTTAGCTAATGACTGGAAAAATTTAGTAAAAATTAATGTATTAAATTTTGGAGTTTAATTTTGTAAAACTTTTATAAGTCCGGAAAATGAAAGTAAAGTAGAGTCAGTGTGTGTGTGTGAGATGCGTGGGTTATGAGTGATAGAGAGTGTTAATAGTATTATAAGTATTGGTAGTCGGGTGGACTTAAGTTTAAGTTATAAGCGTGTGGAGTTAATGGTGGTTAAGTGGTCTTGTGGACTTGTAAAATTAAGTTTAGTTTTAGTCAGGTGTGGGAGACCGTTAGTTCTGAAAAAGCCCAAATAGTTTTAGTCAGGTGTAGGAGACCGTTAGTACTGAAAAAGCGCAACTAGTTATAATCAAGTTGTGGGAGACCGTCAGTTAGAACGTCCCCGCTAGTCATCGTGTCATCGTTTGGAAAGGTGTCGTTTGTAAATATCGTTTATATCGCAGTTATTCTCCACGTCGCTAGTTAACAAGTTAATTAGATTATAAGTGAGTTAGTTGTAATCAACGTTGTTGAAATTGTTTTGTTAAATAAATACCGGTTATTTTGTTAAATAAAAAATTATTTCTTTCAGATCACCTTCCTCTTTCTCTCTCCTTGTAGATATTAAGCTCTTGTTTGTTGTTTAATTATTTCTACTAATTTAAATTAAGGGGCCCAATAACAGGCATAACAAACCCGTTACAATACATACATACAGACATACAGACACATCGCCGGAATGGTCAGGGAAGCTTCCTAGGACCTCGGAACGTCGAGATTCGATGAAAACTAATTGCATAAAACATGTACATGACTGAGAAATGACGCCATTTTGTCCCTATTTTGGATCCACAAGTAACAAGTGCACAAGTTGGAAGTGCACTAGTGACTTTTTTACTAGTTACTTTTATACTTGTGGGTAGTATAAATGTAAACAATAAGCGAGTGTAGCGCCACTTCTTATAAGTCATCGATGAGCCAACCAGGCTTCCGTACATAAGTGAAGTTGAAATCTGCCTATAGGCTTATTTAGAGTTATCATATATTTACGTATATATAAATCCATACATTCATGAACTTTTAAATTTTATTGACGAGCCGAGTCAGAAAATTGGAAAATTTCTTAAAAGTTCCGATCTGAGGACACATGCAATAGTTAGATTTTCACGAAATTGACTAAACACATAAACCATAAAGTATTAAATCCTTAAATTTCCAACAATATTTTTAAAAGATAAGAATTAAAGGTTTAGTCATGAACAAATTAGAGTAAATTCTAACGAGAAAACCATTTAAAAAAACATTCAATAATCTAGAAAAAGAGAAACAGGCTTATGGCCATAAACAGTCTAAAGTTATGTTCTTTTATTAAAATTCTTCTTACAGTGATAAAAAGAGTTTACATAGCCAATATATAAATAGACATCGATGACAAGAATAGCAGTAGAATTTAGTGTTCAAATTATTTTCAGAAAGTATACTTTTTACTACTGTGTTCAAAATTAAAAATTTACTGATGTTACAGTAAAGATGTTACAATTCACTTATTAGAAGTGACAATTATAGAATTTAAAAAATGATATTTACACCCAAACAATTAACAAAAAGAGCTCATAACTTCATTTCATAGTTTTATACAGTGCGTTATGACTTAATATTTAATGATTTTGCAATCATTATCGGAGTACTCCTGTGTACTTGAATATAGTTATTTTCTCAAGATCTAGTGCGTTTTCTCGTGGCTTTATTTGCATGATCCTTTAATTTGGGTAGAGGATTTTCGAGAGCATCTAACTCTTCTTCAGTCAGTCTATCTTTGTACCAAGCGGAACTATAAATAAAAGAAAAAAATCATTATTACATTACTTAAGTTGGCTATTTTATTCTAAATGATTTGAATCATTTTATGTCATATCGCTAAATAATTTGACTTCAAGTCCTTTTGGATGCATGAGTTCTTGTTAGATGTTTTCTTTTTGAGAAAATTACTTACCACTCAGGAATTTTTCTAGCCCAATCACATTTCTTTGTTTTTTCATCGAAAGCCTGACCTAATTTACATCCATTTCTTCGAGGAGTTTCACCATTGATACATACGTAGAAATATTGGCAGTCATCTGGATCAGCATAACGAGGATGCGTTGCAGCTACAGCTTCGTCAACTTTAGGGCAAGTGAAGTTAAACAATTCACGTGATCCACATCCATTCTTTTTGGCTTCATCAGGCCAATTACAGATACCAGTTTTTTCCGAAAATACGAGACCAGCAGGACATGTTATCATATTGAATTTCCCTTCAACACAATAGTAAAATATATCACAGATTCGAGTATCTTCATGGGCAAAGTAACCATGCATTCGCGGACAATGTTGAGATGATTGTGGACTTTCTGAAACATCATTTTTATTCAATAATATTAAAATTAATATTAGAAAACGAAATTTTTGAAAAAATCATTTCTACATTTTTGTTTTTTGATTGCATTTTTTCATTCTAAATATACGATTTTAAACATATGAATGTTCTGATAAGGAATCGTTTACGTCGTGAGAAAACATTTCCCATCATAAGTTACATACGAATAATATCTTGTTACTTGAATGTTTCGAGTAGGATCGATAACTTTTACACCTGATCCTTTCAACTAGGTTGACAAATTTTTATGTATACCGCTTCATACTTTTCTCATTATTTTTCAAAATTTCACTCGAACGAGTAGAAATCGAGAATTTAAAAAAAATATTTATTCAATACTTATTATATTTACGCTATAATCTAGATGGGATTATTTAAATTAGTTCACAGTTTTTAAGATTAATTTTAAAAGGAAAATAGATAAATTTTCTAATTTCCAAATTCTACATAATTTTTAGGAGGATTTCATTGAAATCTATCTATTGCATTGATCCTCACGTCAAAATTAATTTGCTATAATATCAACTAACTAGTCGAACATGGCTTAAAAATAGTATTGGTTCGAAGGTTTATATATATGTCGTAGTCTCTTCGCAACATCCGTCATTGCATGATATACCTAGGCAATTCCCGAAGCGTCGGCGTTTAGTGAAAAATATTGAAATTGCATTATCAGCCTTGGTAGTTCATGAAATGACCACTTGGCGCCAGCATCTCGTGTTTAAAGCCAAGATGCATAATCAGACGCATAAAGCAGTTGGGCTTTTCATGTAATACCTATTATACATCTTGACACATTGAATACAGAAAAAAAATTAGGAAAACGGTTAACCCGAAAGGCCATCTCTGCAACTTCCCGCTAATTCCATATCTAGGAGCTTAAAATTGCATTTATGACGATTTTGAACTCTTTGATCTCAAAAATACAATTTATGTGTTATTTTGAGCTCTCCGAGCTCAAAGAGATGGCTCTTCTATGCCTTTGAGCTCTTTGAGCTAAAAAATCTATTAGAAATTTGATAAAATACAATTTTTTTAATTTTCAAACCGCGATAACTTTACGGTTTGAAAAACATCAAGTTCTGATGGAAACTCGATTTTTGCAAAACGGGGTAAACTTCCCAATAACTTCCCGATTTTTTTAAATCTTCAATTTTCTTAGTGGGAAGTTAAAAATTAATAATATTAAAAAATAGAAGGAATCAAAGCAAATACAGATTAATTTGTAAAAAAATGTAACGAATATTATGGAAAACAACCTAACAAATGACCGTATACTTCAGTTTACTTAAAAGAGGTAAATATTATACGGTCGTTTGTTAGGTTATTTTTCATAATATTCGTCATATTTTTCTACAAATAAATCTTTATTTGCTTTTATTCCTTCCATTTTTTGATATTATTGATTTTCTTTATTGTCTAACGGGTCAATATGTATAATAGGTATTACATAAAAAGCCCAACTGCTTTATGCGTCTGATTATGTATCTTGGCTTTAAGGTAGTACGGTTATGAAAGCAATATTTTAACAAATCCTCGAAACTTTGAATATAAGTCATTAAATACATAATATACATATGCTGTTAAAATTTGAAGACGATTTACCATACCAAACTTGAGATAATTGCAATTGAAAATGACATTTTTGTACATGTAACATAGGAGAAGCGTGGGAAAATGACAGTATTTTTAATTTTTTCCATCGAAAGAATTTTAAGACTTTATCAAAAAACTAGTAGATTTCGAACAATTAAAAAAAAATGAAAATTATTTACCATGTAGTTTTCGAGATTAATTAAAATCAATTTCACTTTTAGAGGATTATTTTTAGGAGAAAGGGTACGAAAAACAGCCGCTAGTCACTGAAACCGTAGTGTGTGCGTGTATATGTATAGAGAATATAGTAGTCGACGAGTACAGTAACGTTAAAAAATCTTAACCTACAACCTTAGCTCTGTCGATACGTTATAACGGGATTTCGCCTGACCCGGGGATTTACCAAGCCAGGCTCACCGTTTATTTAAAATTTGGCTTACTTAAAAAAAAATTTATCATTAATAAAAGGGCGCCAGGAGAATAATCTCCAACTAATTACTGCTTCGACTTCGGCTAGCTATTACCTCTTCTTCAGGGCGGCGGGCCATGCTGAAATACTCGTCGTTAAAAAAATAGGACAGCAAAACAAACGAAATTCTTAAAATTACTTGAAATAAATTCAGGAAAATTAAAAAAAATAACAATTTATTCAACAAAATATATGTCGGCGGTCGATATTAATTTTTAACAAAAATTAATAAAACGTCGTAAATTAAATGTACGTTTAATTGTAACAAAATTAAAACTAATAAACGTCGTTATCTCTACTTCAATTCTTACACTCACAGTCATACATCAGCAATCACACTATGTAATAACAGTATCACAAAAAAAAAAAAAATAGCCGTAAAGCGTTGAATCCTCGCGTATTATTTCGTTACTCAAAATATTTTACAAAATTCCAACGTGGACTCTAAACGCTGGATTCAACACTGAACAAGAACGTCGGCTTACCAAGAAATTGAGCGTCGTCCTCATCTTAGCAGCTCGGGAAAGCTTCGTGTGGTCGACTCGTAAATAATTAATTTAAAAATAAATACTTTACAACAAGTTACAAATTAATTTGAAATAAGCAAACTCGCGACATAACTTCGAAATTAATTTTAGGTTGCGGAGCGCGCAAAAGCGCGTCCGTGTACGTCGACAGTCCAGCCTCGAATCGTCTTCTTCATGGAGGAGTACCCACTTCTTCCTTCATTGAAGTTGGCGGCACTAGTTTTCATTTCCATTGGAATTGATCCCCGTCGATAGTTGATCTAGGTCCGTATAACAGTCAACGGACCTTCACAACAGTTTTTAGTCACCTCTGCTCCTGCAGTACTGACTAACCAACTGTCATCGATGTTGATCGTCGTATTGGAAAATAGCGGCACTGCAGTGTCGATCGGTATCCAGGCCTCTCGGGTGTTTACGCCGCTCGGTGCCTCGTCACTTCGGTACTCTTCGATATTAGCTTATTTACGTCGCAGCTCCATCCTTGTCGCTCCAATGCATAGCCTCGTACCCACTGTGACTCGCTCTGTCTTCGTTACTCGTCCAGCGTTACGCATTTTACACAAAATAAATTCATAAAAATTAGTACAATTTTCATTCATTCACACATAACATTCACGACGTTGGATTCGAGCCTGGAATATTATAATACCCCAAGTGTTGGGCGTCGAATAAAAATTTACCACGTTACAACGTATAACATGGATAGCGAGTCAAAATTTTTTATCTGGATTGTCGCGGAGGTACTACTTTAAACACGAGATGCCGGTGCCAAGTGGTCATTTCATGTACTACCTAAGCTAATACTGCAATTTAAATCTTTTTCTCTTAACGCCGACGCTTCTGGAAGTGCCTACACGGAAAAAAAAATTGTAGCAGCAACAGGTTAGGCCTGTAGCAGCTACAGGCCTAGTTTTGTAGCTGCAACAGGAAAAGCTTGTAGCAGCTACAGGGCTAGTTTTGTAGCTGCAAAAGGAAAAGCCTGTGCTACTACAGGCTTAGTTTTGTAGCTGCAACAGGATAAGCTCTTTTACAAGTTTAAAATTCAATTTGATTTTAGGAATCAACATATTAACAATCAATTATTAGTTTTTAACATGGATTAGCTGATAGTTAATTATTTTTTACATGGATCAGCTCAAAGTTTCATAATCTTGTAAACAATTTATCGGGTCTTTTACTTTACTGCAATATTGATCTTGGACTAATAGACGTGATTGCATGTATTTGGAATTTTAACCCTAGACTGGTCAAAGGGTGGCGCAAAAAAACCGACTATTTTTTTTTTTGAGACTCGAGTGAAAAAATGTCAGTTTTTGATGTTTTAACAGCCCTCTCCAAAGAACAGCTCGAAAAAAAATTTTTAAGAGGTCGCTTCAAATTTTTTTAAATTTCAAAAATCGTCAAAAATCGCAATTTTTTTTTACCAAAGTCATTAGGTCGCGCTTGTCAGTCTAGGCTTAAAAATTTTCAAGGAATAATAAATAAGAATGAAATTATTTAACGTAAACACATTGAAAATGATCAATGTCCTACTATGAAAAACCTTAATAATGAAATTCAAAAAAATTAAATTTAAAACTTGTAATGGAGTTTATCTTTTTGCAGCTACAAAACTAGGTCTATAGCTGCTACAGGCTTTTCCTGTTGCAGCTACAAAACTAGGCTTGTACCTGCTACAGGCCTAACCTGTACCTGCTACAGACCTAACCTGTTGCTGCTACAGGCCTAACCTGTTGCTGCTACAGGAACACGCTACAAGCCTAAGACCTGTAGCAGCTACAGTTTTTTTTTTCCGTGTAGGTATTTCCTGAAATGACGGATTGTGCGTCTGAATAACTTTAGAACGGCTGTCTTTATGATAAGTGTAAGATACCTTTTTTGTAGATCGTTGAATTCTCTACAAGAATATGCTATGGACTTATTTATATGAGGTGCGTATGCCGAGCTAGAAAAATAAACAAAAAAAATAATTTTTTTTCCTATGTTATTTAAATGGGAAATGAAAATTAGGGACAGACACTTCTAAATATTAATATTAAGAGTTCCGCTTTGAACAGGCTTCTGTTCTCACCTACATGCAAGTTTTCAGCCTGTTTTTTTGTTGAAAAAAAAAGTCGCCTCAAATTGGCACACCCTAATACATATACAAGAATTTTTGAATTTTTTTTTTCATAAATTTTGAAAAATTTTCGATTTTTTTTTATTATTTTTTTTTTTGCAAGTATACGCAGTCACTAATACAGATTCAAGAAAAAAATGAAGAAAAAATTTTTTTCTCATTTCGATAAAAATTATTACCTTTTCAGAGCGAAATTCTTGCTCCTTTAATTTTTTCAAAAATTCAATCAAGTGGGAAAAAAAAAAAACGGTTAGCTGGATTAAATTGCAACTTCGTAGGGTTTTTGTGGGTATATTGAACAGTAAAAGGCACACTTAACATTAGTGG